TTTATTGCACTAAACAGCATTCTGGTAAGGAGGAATAGAAAGCGAGCTATTTATCCTCATTACTATCTATAAATCATTCATTTCATGTAGCTCAATTTTTGTGCAGACAGTAATTCAGGGATAGAGGAGCTCTCTCTAGGGAAATTTAACAGGTTCTGCAGAGCATGCATGTGCACTCTACAATACAGTTATAAGCTATAAATATCCCTCGTGATTCAGTAGAGTAGTCCTGATGACCTAAAGCACACAAACAAACACTTGCGGTAGAATGCTCGCACTGCAAACTCTAATTTTGTCCACTGACAACAACAAAAAACAACAGATTTTCAACATGTTTTGCTAAAATTTGCAATTACTCTTCATCTTTTAATTGATTTCCTCCATTCTTACTTGGCTGTGATTACACACTTTCCCCTTACTTGTGGAAATGTGCTCGTGTGTCTGACAGATCTCTTGACTTGGCATTTTTTCTTGTTGCTTAGAAACCAACAAAGACATGTCTCCGTCCTTGTTGAAGGACAAAAATATGGCAGAGCAGTGTTTTCCATGAATCTTCTTCAGTATCTGTTTATGATATTCAGCATATTAAACTGAAAATATTACATTTGGTGTCATATTAGACTAAGGATAAATGTTACTTATTGTAAGAAGAACTACTCACAATCATTTTAATGCTATCTGTGGCTGTGAAGACGATATTGTAAGCTTTAGAAATAACTTTGATCATATAGATTTGAAGGCATCGAGGTGCTTTTAAATGGTGCTTCAGAGATCAGAGTGAACATTTAAGTTTCAATCATATTAGAGAATAAAAGTGAGGCTCGCTCAGTCTCACTCGTCACAAAATTTACATTTTATTGACGATAAACACTAAACTTCGTCCATCCATTCGCTTCCACTTATCCTTTTCAGGGTCGTGGGGGTCGCTGGAGCCTATCCCAGCTGTCATAGGGCGAGAGGCGGGGGACACCGTGGACAGGGCGCCAGTCTGTCGCAGGGCTAACACAGAGACAGACAACCATTCGCACTCACATTCACACCTATGGGCAATTTCGATTAATCGATTAACCTATCCCCACTAAAAAATATCAATTATATAGAGCAAAAACTACTAAAACTAAATTCCTAGATTACAGAGTATTAATTACAGACAGTTTGCAAGATAATGTAAAGCTTATTTACTGAACAGAAACAACAACAGGGAAATTTTCTTCACCATGTTTATTTGAAATAAAATGCGATATTTCACTTTTTCTTTTCTTTCCTTCGCTGAGTCGTGCACAGCAGTCAAACGCTGTGTGTGTCAAAAGGAGCGAGTGAGTCAGGACTGCATCTTGCATATTTGCCTCATTCACTTACTGCCAGCTAACGTGTGTTTGTGTGCGAGGTCTCGTGGTGACTGAAGGTTGAGACACTGCATGCTGCTTCTTATTTATGTCATATTTGGGGCATTTTTGTGCTTTGGGGATTATTATTTATTCCTTCTGGGAGTACTGTTGTGGAGGGATTTTTTTATTGAATGAATTATTCGGCATGCTCTCAAACACTTTGGATAAAAAAAGTAGAGAAACTAAAAATAAATGAAATGTCCCATGCATCAGCTGCGATGTGCTGTTTTGACGATGCACATGTTGAACAGTCCTCTTTGTCTTTTCTCTCCCTTTGTCTGGCTACAGTATCAATCCCGTGGTGAATGATTGCCCTCTAACACACACACACACACACACACACACACGCTGACAGCTGCATGGTAGTGGATGTGCTGCAAGTCTCTCTCCATGGTACTGAAATCCCTGATGTGACTGCCCAGGCCACCCATCTGGCTGAGACGCAGCATTTGGTGTATATATCTGTGTGTTTATGTTATTCATAAGAATATTGCTTCTTAGCTAATAACCATATTTCTGTTCACCCATAACTGACAGAAACATTGAGGATGCCGCACTCGTGCTTAAAATTATCTAATTAAAAATACACATTAATTAGAATAACTGACATAAATAACTCATACAACTCGGTTATTGGTTGTTCCTCTCGACTGTGTTTCTGCACGTTTCGAGCATGTTCATTTACCTCCAAGGGTTGCTCTTTGACTCTGAAAATGTAATCGAGTGTATATCCTGCATTAGCTTTACGCTACATTACCATCTATAATTAAACAGCTCCTGTACAACAGAGTAGTCCCCCTGTTAATGATGAAAGTTTTCATAAGATTAATTGCTGCTGCAGAAATAGCTCCATCCTCTGACCTCCTGGGTGTAAAAATAGATCCTTGCTGTATGCATATACACACAAATAAAACATCACACACCCAGAGCACCTCCCCTGACTTCTCATTAGGGACTCCAGCAGACAGGGAAGGATTTTCGGGTTACACAAACTCTCACACTGCTGCAGTGGTGGGTTTGTTCCCTTCGCCTGCTCCTCCTCCTGTCGCCCCAGGGATGAATATCTATAGAACCCATTGTCTGAGAGACATACGAGTGTGGAGCCTCAACACTTCTTGCAGTCTGTGATTTTCAGTATAAAGATCCAAAATGGCTGCCCATGAGTGACTCCATATTAATGTGATCCTGAGGAAACGATATTAAACTTTAATCTTCTCCACTTGATTGCCAATTAGGACACAAATACTGGGGCGTCACTTTGTACATACAGCAGTACTGGCAGTTGTGTTCATGTAATTATCATGAAACAGGTCTTTTTTTTGGTGTTAAAATGATCCCTGTAGCAGAGAATAACATTTGGCCGGGAGTCTTTGATCCAATTCTGCATGATGCACTTTCAAGCAATTAAAAGGAGCTTCTCAAGAAGATTGTAATGTGATGCAGGGAGATGCATTTTCCTGGAGGGAAAGCCTCAGAGGACCAGAACCTCTTTTCTTAAAATCTTTAACTGAAATCTCCTACTAATTTCTTTGGAACTAAATGCTGTGATAAAGGGTTTTGTCTGGGCCAGATTTTTACTTCCTGTCCTGCAGAGCCCAGCTGTTGCCGTGAGGCCTGCTCCGAGATTGCCGGGCTCTCATCCGAGCAGAGAATGCAAGCTCATTCAGTCACACTGTGCCTAGAATTAATCGTCTGTTTTGTTCCAGAGGCCCTTCCTCTTAATCATTCACTACAATCACACTGTGGCTCTCTTGAGAGAGAGAGGGGGCACCAGGGTGAGAGCACAAAGGAGTACGAAGAGAGAATGATGAAATACAGAGAAAGCGGTGTGTACAGAAGGAAAATAATAAAGAAATATACAACCTTTCTTTAATAGATACATGTTGCCGAGTGTTTTTTAGTTTACGGGGCATTTTGCCAGACCGATTATTGCTGGCATTTCTTCATATGCTAACTGCTACACTTGTAATTCAAAGGCATAATAAAGAGGTCTATTGAATTTGCATTAACATGCTCTCTGAGGAGAGCGTGAATGAAAAAGCTTCTATTTAACAGACTTACAGCATGTAGATTAAAAGTGGGTTACACTGACAGATTGGAAAATGTGCCTGTTGGCCATAACTGCAACTGAACTGAATTTAACCTTTAATTCCACTTTATTGCTTACTTGATAATAAGATATTTTTTTTTCCCCTCCCTAAACCCCAACCCAAAAGTTTTTTAAAACCAAAAAAGGGGAAGCGGGGGAGGGGGACAAAAAGGGGGGGGAGGGGGGCGCGGGATAATAAGTATCCATAAAGAGAGAAACATGTGGTTCATAATTTATTTTTTTTTTACATGTAAAAGCACAAATTAATTTCACCTCAACACAGCAGGAGACTGCCCGCTTAGCTCGTTAGCCACAAATGAAAAGAAAAGACAGCTGCACTTTAGGCTCATGTCTTTTCAAAGTAATGGATGCTTGTGCCTAATAAATGATTCATGACAAACAGAGAAAATATTATGATGATGAGATGGGATTGGGAAGCTTACATTATTAAACATGTAGTTCAAAATAAATGGCTTCCTATTTAAATTGCATGGTCAGTTTGAAGAGTCAATAACCATACAATACAGTATCCCCGGGTACCGGTCCGTGAGTCGTTTGGTACCGGGCCGCGAGAGTTGAGGCTCAGGTGTGAAATGTATGGTTTTCACGGTTTTTATCGGTTTCCAGCGTTATTTTGTTATCGTTTTTATCGTTAACTCGGTTTTCCTGGATCTTTTCACGTGTGTTATGAATAAATCTTTTTTTTTTCGGTACCGGTACTAGTTTTATTTTGTTGTATTTATCTGCGACACCTTAAAGGTCAGTCCGTGAAAATATTGTCAGGCATAAACCGGTCCGTGGCGCAAAAAAGGTTGGGGACCGCTGGTCTACAGCATCCTGTGGCGGTTGTAAACCATAAAATATTTTTCAGATGATCCATTTTCTCTCACAGAGCTTTCTGCAGGTGCAAAAGTCATTTCTCCTGATGGAAAGGGGCAAAAGGGAAGCATGGTTTATTGAATCACTAAAACAGTTCCTGATGTTCCAGTCATGAAACTCACACATGCATTCAGGAAACCTTGACAGAGAAATAGCGCTGAACTGGAAACACTGGTCTTCCCCTAACAGTGAATGTGTGTTTGCTAGTTTACCACTTTGACCCAGCAGGCCCGCTGTGGTTGCCATGTTTTTTCTGTTGATACCTGCTTTGATTTTATCATGACACGTCAGCTCTCAGTGTCGTGAAAACCTGTGTCAGGAAAATGGGAACACTGTGTCTATTGATCTGAGTGAAACATCACCCACATCGACAGACAGCAGGTATTCTTAAGGGCCAGCCCCTGCAAGTGTCCCATCAGTGCTGCCAGTGGTCAAAAGTACAGCAGCACTCGGCCTAGCACACACAGCTGGGAGAGATGTGCAAGATTTCCGAGGCAGTGTGTGCTAATCCCTTCCATCGCTTGGATTATGATGCTGATGCTATTTGACAGGATTTGGATCAGTGTGATTTTAATTTTGACTTTACAGAAATACCGGTTTCCTTTTCTTCTTACCCTACCTCCCTCCCTTTTTTATCTCTTCAGGCATTTGGCCAGGCTTACACCAACCAACGGAAGGTGGCAGAGGATGGGGAGACCAATGAGGAGACACTGCTGCAGGAGTCCGCCTCCAAGGAGGCCTACTATATGGGCCGCCTGTTGGAGCTGCAGTCAGAGGTGACGCTTAGCCGCTCTGTGGCGTCCAACGCCCAGTCAGAGAATGAGCGGCTCAACGCACTTGTACAGGAGCTACGAGAGGTGAGTTTGTCAACACGAGGAAAGCATGCAGACGATTTATTACTTCCTAAATAAAGAAAAACAGGAAATTGAATCTACTGTGTGTGTAGATTTGATATATTTCTGCTTATGTCAGTAGTATTTTGTTACCAACACCTAAAATTCTCTCTATGAGATGTGCACATTAATTGTTTTGAAACTTGAATGCATTTGGCTTGCAGCTGGCTCTTGACTGAGCGAGATACAGTAAGAGTTAACTGCATGTAAAGCCATCTTATAGTTTTTATGATAATTCTTGAGTCCAAACGGATTGTTTTCCACAGTTTGACTAGTATTTCTTTCATTCTACATTAACTAACATGAGACCTATGTGTTTATCAAAGATCAAGAGGTTACTGTGACAAACTAAAAGGTGTCATGCCTCACACAGAATAATAAACGATATACATATGTGCAAAGTGTGTATTTATGCAAGTATATATGTCTGCAGCAACTGTGTTGGGCAGTACCGGAGTTCGAGCAGGGGTCAGACACTGCGGCCACGACCCCATTGTGGGGGGCAAATCCAGTGCTAAGCTGGGATATAAAGTGAAATGCCCTGAGCTCGGCACATGTGTAGGGACAGAGTACCAGCACTACGCCCACAGGACACACTCTCATTCACTAATTTGGTCAGGCAGTGCTGTGATGTTCGCTCATTCTCAAAGTTCACAAGAAGTGAAGATATTGATGGTGCTGGAGCATGTGGAACAAAATCAACATCTCAGCTGTAATTACCTGATAAACCTTTACACACGATGAGTTGTTCCTATGCACAAATGCCCCATGTCTGAGTCATGAGTGTGGCGCTTTGATATATTTATGAAGTGCCTTCTGCTGTTTTTTGAAGTCCTCATTTGCACAGTTAATGAACAGGATTCCTTTCATCGTGAGAGGCAGGTGCTGCAGTGACATCGAGCACTTCATTTACCACAGACCAAATCTAATTAAAAGATTTTTGTTTTACAGATTTCAAGCAACCTAACATATACAGGTTTGGGGAAAAAGACACTGAGTTAGTTTAGATAGATGTCTGTTGTTAGAGTTACAAGTCAGAACATGAGAAGTGATAAAGATTAAAATCAAAGTGCACTTTAAAGCCCAAAAAAAGAAACACAGGCCTAAACTTTAAATTTGTAAAACTTTGCCACAACAGCAGTGATGGCAGGGATGAATGAACACAACATGGCTGGGCCCCTGTTGTGGGTACCATTGTATGATGACTTTAACAGCCGCACTTCGTGCTGTGAACAGCTCTGCCCTGTGGCGGGCTCAGTGCCAGTGTTGTGTGCCGATCTGTCCCTGACCGTAGGGTCTGATTGCCCCCAGTATTATTTGGCCTTGAATATCCTGCACACTATTAATAAAATGTATTTTGACAACATGTATCACAGAAAGCTTATATTCATGTTCATACATCAACCGCAAATGTATTTTGTGTGTTTTTGGTCTGCTCTATTTTTTTCTTTTTACAGTGTTTTAGCCAGTTTTAGCGTAAAAGTGCTTTCAATGTATTTGCAAAACAGTCCAATTGTGCCTTTGTGGGATTTCCCCATTTACACCATTAACTTTTATATAATGGGAGTTCCTGTCAGCTAATGCACAAATCAGGAGGTTCAGTGTAGACCAGAGGTCTTCAGTTTCAGGTTTTTTGCCACTTCTAAAAGTAGCATCGTATTCACTGCCAATGCGTGTAGCCACCCACTCCACCCACAAAGTCTCTGGGTCAGCACTTCTGCCATATGTACAGAGAACTGCAGGGGAGCTGCAGGCAGCTCTGCAGCAGCAGGAGTACACACATGCGCAAATGCACTGTAACATTATTTTGTAGCCTATACTACAGACTCTGTCCACTAGTTGCATTGGGCTGCAAACATTTACACACAACTGTGTGTGAAAATAAGATATATAAAATATATTTTTTCATTTTTGTCTTGATATGTAAATATCATCTAGTTAATTTTTGGGAAACAGCAGAGAGTGTTTCAGCGCATGTACAGTAGAGGTATGTAAAAAAATAGCTTTTGAGAAAGTCCTACCTCAGTGTGCAAAGTCACGTCTACATGCATCAGCATTATGAGTCTGTGCATGTCATGCAATCTTAAGCTGACGGGACTGTATTTGATATTGACCTTGTTTACGTGGGCACCGCTTTGCCTGTTAGGGTTTAATCATATTCAGCATATTGGATTTACATGCTAGCTATTCTGGTTACTGATCACTGCATGTTGTTTGGGTTAGCATCTGTGATGGTTATGAGAAGTCTATTCTTAATTCCAGTAAATATCATCTTAAATTAATTTGATGTAGCTATTATAAATTTGGCCACAGTGGCTTGTAGTCGGCTCAAGACGTGTTGCAGATTTATCCCAACCAATGAGACCTCAATGAGCGGAAAGAGTGATGGGAACTGTTAAAAATGTCACCGCTGTTTTTCCTCCTTCAGAGTAACGAGATGCTCGAGCTGCAACGGAGCAGAATGAGGGAGGAGATCAAAGAGTACAAGTTCAGAGAGACCCGGCTGCTTCAGGACTACACAGAGCTGGAGGAGGAGAACATCACACTTCAGAAACTGGTGTCCACACTCAAGCAGAACCAGGTTGGTACGAAGATCAACAGTTTGCACACTAATAGCTTCTTATTTATGTGTCATTGTCGTGTAGAGTTTCACTCTCTAAATGTATTTCTCAGATTTAAGCGTGTCAGTGAAATTGCCTATTAAAGATCTGTCATCACTTTCAGTGATGCATCAGCAATCGGTGGCTCAATTGATTTTAATGACTCAGACTCGTGTCACCAAAATGTACCAGTACTCGCAGTGATCTCACAGTGTTTCCTGCACAGTAACACGAAGTCGTATTAGTTTAAACTAGCTCTAGACACGTGGTTAGATGAAGTCGAATAGAGATCTTAACGGTTATATTAATTTCAAAAGGATTTGTTTTTTACCAGCTGTTTACAAATGTGTTAAAATAATTCTTTTCCTGTTACCACGTGGCCTTTCTGTGTCCCTCAGGTGGAGTACGAGGGACTGAAACATGAAATTAAGGTGCTGGAGGAGGAGACTGTCCTTCTGAACAGCCAGCTGGAAGACGCTTTGCGCTTAAAGGAAATCTCTGAGGGTCAGTTAGAAGAAGCCCTGGATGCCCTCAAGACTGAGCGCGAGCAGAAGAACAATCTGAGGAAAGAACTAGCCCATCACATCAGCCTGGGTGACAGCGTCTACGGCGCAGGGGCCCATCTGGCGCTAACCGTCACCGGAGTTGAAGGCCTGAAGTTCCCCGAGGAGAGCAACGGCACTAATGGCAGCACCATCCCGGCTGCTAATGGCAACAATGAGGACAACAACCGCTGCAACGGTCACTTTCACGCTGGCTCTGGGATGGCTAAGATGAACGGGGACTACAGACCCGGCCGAAAGGGAGATGGCCTTCACCCCGTGCCAGATCTGTTCAGCGAGCTCAACTTGTCAGAGATGCAGAAGCTTAAACAGCAGCTACTGCAGGTAGGTCATAAGAGAGAGTGCCTTGGAAATTTCACTGAAAGTTTAAAGTCCCACATGAGCCCCGAGCCCAGTTTGAAATCAGAAAATCGTTGGGTCACTGAATCTTTATTTTCAAGGACACTGACGTCACTTGAACGTCACCGAGGGTTTAAATAACAGCGCTGAAGGGGGTTGAAATTAGCTTCAAAGAGCAGATTGCAGGACTACCATATTGATCTCCCTTCCCACAGTATATTTTAGTTTTTAGTGTGAAGACTGATGGAGTCTGAAGGCATTCATTTAAGGTTATTGTCATTTGAACCCTGTACTGACATTAGAGATAGATGAGAAGTGGAGAAAGACTAGAGGAATGACATCACAAATGTTCAGACTCAAATCGAGGCCCTAGCGCTCAGGGCGCCCATCTGGTAAGTGCTTTTTAAGAAGCATGCTAATGCACATTCAGTGTCTGTATCATGCATTATATATTAAGTATGCTTTCACGCATGTTATGGAGGGAGTAGCTTTCAGTATGCGAGAATGCAGCTGCAAGACAAAGGCCGAGAAAGGCAACAGATTTATGCCAAAAGTGAAGGAAACTGCTTTGTACACTTTTATTTACACCGCAATTAGTTCCTGCTTAACGCTGTGAAAAGCTGCTACTGTATACAAAGAATGTAAAAATACAAAATATATATAATATAAAATATATAGCTGAACTAGCTTTCACTTAAACCCACTTGAGTACAAAACAGACTCATCGTGGAGGATGGTATATAGAATGTTAAGTGACAGTGAAACCACAGAGAGATCAAACTCGTGCTAAAAGCAAATAAAGTCATTACTGTACATCTTTTATCTAGCTGGGCACCAGCAGGGAGGAGAAAACTAGATTAGTGGTTGCTATATTCACAGTGTGCCTCTCGCTGTAAACACAATTACTCACTAGCTAATTTTCTCTTTTGAGTTGATCTGTCTGGGAAAGACCATCAGCCTTATAAGGTCCAGCTGAAGTCCAGTTTTCGTTGTGTTTCTTCTGGAGTTGTCCAGAGTTTCTTATAGTTCAATCTCAGAACTTGAAAATCAGATTTATTGCTTTAATATAGTTTAACGTGTCGTTCTGGAGGACGTACACAAAAATGACATTGCACTGGAAAGTACAAAAAGAAACAAATTTAATTTTAAATTTCTGTCGTGCAGGTGGAGCGTGAGAAGGCAGCACTGCTCAAGAACCTGCAGGAGTCACAGACTCAGTTGCAGCACACACAAGGTGCCCTGACTGAACAGAATGAGCGCGTCCATCGTCTCACAGAGCGCGTCAACGCCATGAAACATCTCAATGGAGACAAAGAGCTCGATGATCCAGAAGAGAGTGAGAAACCTAATGGGGGGTCCTCATCCCCAACGGCCAATAGCCATCATGATCTCGATATCCACGGTTTTAAGATTCTTGAGTGTCGGTACAAGGTGGCGGTGACCGAGGTGATCGACCTAAAAGCAGAGCTCAAGGCCCTGAAGGAGAAGTACAATCAGGCGGTGGAGGGACAGGGAGACAGCCATGAAGATGACCGGGTCCAGGCACTGACTGAACAGGTTTGTGCAATATTAATCCAGTTTTGCTGAAAGTAAAGCTGCAAACGTACTCACTAGGGTGCAACGATACACAAAATTCACGGTTCGGTTCAATACTTTGGTGTCAGGGTTCGATATTTTTTCCATACAAAAAAATGTTCATGCTTTTTTAATTTGTCATTTATTAAAATTATAAATATATATTTTAACTCAAAAGTACAGTTTTTAAATGTAATGTTGCTGAAACGACAAAGTAATAAAATAATAAATCTATCTGATCGAGAAATCACTCATCTTTGGAAAAGAGAGTTTATTACAGAGAAATGTCTCTTTCCAAAATAAAAGCTATACTATCCGCTTCTTCTGGGCTATATTCTCAGCAGCATATTAAACATATCAGGTCCCCATAAGGAGAATCCTGTGCTAACGGCTGTCTAAATGACTCGGGATGATGTCGGATGTTCCCACTAGTGCTGTCAGCGTTAATCTGAAATGACGTTAACGCCACAACACGGCAAATCTCCGGCAAACGAGCTACCGCGGATCGCCCCGTGCCTGGGGCTGGACGGCGTCAGCACATTAACGAGCTAACTGCGCTAACGCAGTAGTTCCCACCCATGTAATTGAGCATTGCGTGGCACATCCAACATACTGTTTTACTTTAGTCCATGACGCGCTTACCTTCAGGGTCATACTTCACATGAAAACCAAAATAGTTCCAAAGGCCAGATCTGAATGAGGGTGGGGGAGATTCAATTTGCCATGTTGCAACGAGCTTAGCTTCTGTCTCGCTAGCTTGCGCTGCGCTCAGTGGATCTGCGCTCGACAGTGCAGCCTAGGCGGAGTAGTCGAACGCAGATCCACTGAGCTCTCAACACAGACAGCATCGTCAGAAGAAAAGAAATAAATTAAAAATGTTGTATTGTTCGATACATATGCGTACCGAACCGAAAGCACTGTATCGAATGGTTCAATATCGATGCGAGTATCGTTGCACCCCTAGTACTCACCGTTTGTTTGTTTGTTTGTTTGTTTGTTTGTTTGTTTGTTTGTTTGTTTGTTTGTTTGTTTGTTTGTTTTCTGAGCAGGTAACACAGTTGGAGCGAAGTTATCGTGAAAGCCGGGAAAGGGTTGTAAGCCTGGAGGCGGAGCTCCGAGCAACTGCAAGTACTGCCTCAGAGAGCCAGGGCATGCTGAACGCTGCCCAGGATGAGCTGGTAACCTTCAGTGAGGAGTTGGCGCAACTCTACCACCACGTCTGTCTGTGCAACAACGAGACACCAAACCGTGTCATGCTGGATTACTACCGCCAGAGCCGAATCACACGCAATGGCAGCCTCAAAGGCTCGGAGGATCCTCGAGCTTTGCTCTCGCCTCGCCTGGCGCGACGTCTTGCGGCAGCATCGGCAGCCTGCTCCTCGGAGTCTCCGCGCAGTTCCACAGACTCCCCATCCAAAGATGCCCAGCATAACGAGACAACAACTCACAACCCAGCAGACTCCTGCCACAGCAGCCCTACCCGCAACTACACCGGCTCCCCGGTCATCGGCATCTCTCCTTGCCCATCTCCGGTACCTTCAGACTCAAGTGGGGACCTGCGGAAGGAGCCAATGAATATCTACAACTTAAACGCCATCATCAGAGACCAGATCAAACACCTGCAGAGGGCTGTTGACCGCTCGCTGCAGCTGTCCAGGCAAAGGGCTGCAGCTAGGGAGTTAGCACCCATGCTTGACAAGGACAAAGAGTCCTGCATGGAAGAAATACTAAAGCTCAAGTCCCTGCTTAGTACTAAGAGAGAGCAAATAGCTACACTCAGGCTGGTGCTCAAGGCCAATAAGCAGGTAAAATCTTTTGTTTGTTGGATTCTGGCACTTATTTCATTAAAAAAAAACCCTAAAATGCATTTTCCATTAACATTAAATGATTCAATTCAAATCGCCCATCTTTGCAGACAGCAGAAGTTGCGCTGGCTAATCTGAAGAGCAAGTATGAAAATGAAAAGGCGATGGTGACAGAGACCATGACGAAGCTAAGGAATGAACTGAAGGCTCTGAAAGAAGATGCAGCCACCTTCTCTTCTCTCAGGGCCATGTTTGCGACGAGGTGAGAAGGGCTCAGGAAATGTGGCACAGCTAAGATGAGAAAGCAAAGTGTTCGGTTAAAACGTAGAATTTGTGTATAAATGTTGACTTGTGGCTACACATAATCCTGCTGTGTGTCTGTTAATCTCCCTGTAGGTGTGATGAATATGTTACACAGCTGGATGAGATGCAGAGGCAGCTAGCGGCAGCAGAGGATGAAAAGAAGACGCTGAACTCCCTCCTCCGAATGGCCATCCAGCAGAAACTGGCCTTGACCCAACGCTTGGAGGATCTGGAGTTTGACCACGAGCAGACTCACCGTACCCGTGGTGCTAAAGTGCCCAAGATAAAAAGCAGCCCACCCAAAGTAAGTCGCAGAGGTGTCCCCACAATTTCTTCCAACCCTACCAGCCTCCACAGCCACTTCATCATCATCACTCACACCCCGAACACCACTGTGACCCTTTGTAATCTTCCCTGTGTAGAGCTAACCTCATGTTTGTTTGTGGCTTTGTGGATATCAGCCGTACCTTCACCTCTGCGTCACTGCAGTTACTCCAGTTTCTCTCTGGAGTTCGAAGCCGTTGGTAGATCCTAAATGCCTAGCCATACGCTGTTTTTTATCATCATTTCCACACCCAACACCAATTTTCTTCCCAGAAGCCTCTAGATTAGGTGGAATAGGAGAGGTGGTATCACGTGTCTTTAGTTTAGAAATGCATAAGGCACCCCGGTGCACTATCATGCAACATCTGTGCCCATGACACATCACAGGGAAGATTCTTTATGAAATACCAGATAACAAATCTGATATTAAATATCTTTTCTTCCATCTAAAATCCTGCTGCCATAAAATATGACATCATTCCCCAATACTAGGAAGTGTTTCAAAATGACAACAAAGCAAAAATGGCTTTATTCTTAATGACTCACAGCCCCTCACTGTGGCAGATTCAATGAATTACAGCTGAGATTTTTCCTTACAATTTATTTACACCATGACTTAAGTTGTCCCAGGTTTTTGACAGGCTCAGACTAGTAGGAAAACCAGTCAAGCATTTTCTCCGTGTATTCCTAACCCCTCTTTGGAAAAGGGAAAGTAAACAAAAGAATTCTTTGTTACAGCACAATCCTCTTTGCGACGTAACCATTTCTCAACACTAGATGGCGGTGTTTGATCAAATGTCTTTCCCTTTTGAGACTGCAGTCAAATGCTGTTGGACCTTTTTCTCCCTCCTTTTGACTCCGAATTACAGTCACATATATTATAAATAAGCCAATTTAAACTAAATGTTTTTAAAAAGCAATGTGTAATCTTCTCTGTGTTAAGTGAGCGAGTAAACAAGACCTCAGCAGAACTGGTGTAGTCCAAAAATACAATGCCTATATGCAGCGGGTGAGGTGGAGTAGGATTATATTTTTAGCTTTTGTTTCACTGTACGCGTCCTTGTCTTTTTTTGCCCTTGCAAATCAATATAATATTGTATTGGCAAGTGTGTGTGTGTGTGTGTGTGTGTGTGTTACTGAGTGCAAGGGTCC